GTTTGTTTCCTCTCTGTTGTTGTGCTGTTCTAATTTTAGAGTTTTTAAATACTGGTAGCCAGATTTTGTTCATTTTCATGGAACTTATTGTTCCATGAAAATGAACCAGGATGTAACTTATTGTTTATCTGAAAAGGCTAAAGATAATTTATCAGTAATAGGAATACTCACCCTGTTGTCAGAATAAAGTAGAATATGTTCCCGCCATAGCTAAAACCAACGTTTGTAACATACTGTGATGCAGGTGATATTCAAGTTCTTTCTATATTTGTTGGGATTTGGTTCCAGGAACCTTCAATTGATACAAAAAACCATGGATATTCAAATCCCATTATATTCAATAATGTAGTGAAATTATGTCCCTTATATAAAATGGCAAAAACATCTGCTTTTGTGAATAATTGTAAAAAAATATATTTACAAGCAGTAGATCATTAAATCCTTGGATGCAAAGGGCCCATTGTACCAGCAAAACATAAATTGAGATATCAAATCCCATTATATTCAATAATGTAGTGAAATTATGTCCCCTATATAAAATGGCAAAAACATCTGCTTTTGTGAATAATTGTATATCTATCATCTATCTATCTATCTATCTATCTATCTATCTATATATATATATATATATATATATATATATATATATATATATGCTCTGTGCATAATGAGTACCTTAAAAACAAAGGAACCAATGAACGAAATCACACCAAATTTGGCAACAAAACGTCTCACAACACAAGGAGTGACCATCACTCAAAAAATTATGATTTTGTCATTTGGGAGTTGTAGTTGCTGGGATTTATAGTTCACCTAAAATCAAAGAGCATTCTGAACTCCATCAATGATGGAATTGAACCAAACTTGACACACAGAACTCCCATGACCAACAGAAAATACTGGAAGGGTTTGGTGGGCATTGACCTTGAGTTTTGGAGTTGTAGTTCACCTACATCCAGAGAGCACTGTGGACTCAAACAATGATGGATCTGGACCAAACTTGGCAATGATAATATGCCCAAATATGATCACAGATGGAGTTTGGGGAAAATAGACCTTGACATTTGGGAGTTGTAGTTGCTGGGATTTATAGTTCACTACAATTACAGAGCATTCTGAAACCCACAAACAGAACTGGGGCAAACTTCCCACACAGAACTGCCATGACCAACAGAAATACTTAAGGCCATCCTGTCAACTCCCTTCAGCAGGGCAAGAAAACATAATCAAAGCCCTCCTGACAAAGAGCCATCCAGCCATAGATATAGATGATTCACATACACACAGATATAGTATTTGAAAGGGACCCCTAAAGAAGGGCAATAATATGCTCCATGTTCCAGAGTTGGCAAACCAGACAATCTCTACATCAACACTGACAAAGAAACAACAAGAAGTACTGTTTATCCACAAACAGAAAGAAATTCCATATATTAGAAACTTTATTTTATATATTTTCAAGATTGCCAGACTGAGCCACATCAAAGCGTGGCAGGGGACAGCTAGTGTGTGTGTGTGTGTGTGTGTGTGTGTGTGTGTGTGTATATATATATATATACACATACACACACACACACATACATACACACACACACACACACACACACACACAGGCAGTAGATCAATGAATCCTTGGATGCAAAGGGCCCATTGTACCAACAAAATATAAATTGAGATATCAGTCACTGGATGAACATTGCATGAGTATACATTTGAAAACTCTTCTCTGGTATAGAAATGTACAGAATTCAAAGCATACGAAAGTTTTGAGAGTGCATGAGTTACCTTGAATTAATTGTTTTGATCAACATGTACCAAGGAGGATTGTTCAAACTGTGGGAATGAAAGAAGAAAAACATATCAATGTTTTCAAAGCTGATCCTCGGGTTCTTTATGGAATAGACTGTGGTTAGTGAGTTATTCCTTGATGCTCACTGCCAACACTGCTCCCTTTCTTCCTTAACGTTCACCAGAAGGTATTGAAGAACCCCTCGCCTTGTAATGCATCTGTATCTCCCTTCCTTTGCTGGAGAAGGAAGAGTTTAATCTTTGAAACTATCTTATGTTTTATGTATAAGAAAATACTACAATCAGAAACCTGGAAGTGTGTTGCAATTATCATATGGATAGTAGGCACTCTCAGCTTCCTGTATCAGTCAAAATCATATGCAATTAACATAGCATTGCCTTGCCAAAGAGGAAATACAAAACAAACATAACTTCTAACTAAACTAATAGTCCCTCCTCTCTTGCAAATCTTGGCCTTTGTCTGCTCATCCAGTTCTCATGCCATGGCTAAGGTCTTTGAATATGCAGTTACTCTACTCCTTTTAGAGGCTTGAAACAAAAAGTAGTTTTGATAGGTTTCCAGTTTTAAAATCCCTCAGCAAGTCTAATGGGCTGATTCCCACTAGCTGGCTGATTCATTAACCTTGTGGCCGCTGAACTAACTCATTGTATTAACCCCCTTCCTAGCCCTGAACAAAATTTGTTATGCATGATAATGTCGAACTTTGAAGGTTCTACCTTGGCATTTTCATAAACTTAAAATATAGTTTTTCTTTCTACAAACCTTTCTGTTAATTGATTTGACTCGCTTCCAAAAGCTTTCTTTCCTGTAAAAATGGTACTTTCCTTGAAGTCAAAACTGGCATAATGTTATAATAAGATTATAAATTACAAATACTGTAATTGATATTCTTTTGAGAGCACCAGCCTGCAATCTCAAATGGTACTGACAAAAAGACATATTGCCTCATAAACTCGGTTGAAACATATCTGCTATGTTTGTCCACTTAACTAGTTGATTGCTTTTTATTGCTTGTGGATGTTCTGTCTTACACGACATGTTAGCCCTAAACAGTTCAAGCCCAGATTACCTATCCGAACGTATCTCCTTCTATGAACCATCACATAGCTTAAGATCATCAGGAGAGGCCCTGCTTTTGATCCCACCACTCTCGCAAGGGCGGTTGGTGGGGACAAGAGACAAGGCCTTCTCAGCAGTGCCCCCCCCCCATTTGTGGAACTCTCTCCCTAAGGATATCAGGTTGGCTACCTCCCTCCTGTCCTTCAGAAGACAATTGAAGACTTGGCTTTGGGACCAGGTGTTCAACTAGAGGATAGCAGCAATATGGAAAGGAATTTTTGAATTTTTACAACATTGGATTCTCCCGGCTTGGTTTCATCTTTACTAGCACATTAATGTATTCTTAAATAAATGCACTGATGATTTTGTATAATGTTTTTAAAACGATTTTACTGTTTTAATTGTAATGTTATGGTGTATATGTTGTTAGCATCATTTGATGCTTATGTGAGGTCATCCTGAGTCCCCTTATGGGGAGAAGGGTAGGGTAGAAATGTATGAAATAAATAAATAAATGTTAGTCAGTCCATTTATAGGCCAAATTCAAGCTGTTGGTTCTTATCTCCAAAAATGGTAGCTTGAAACCAGGAAGTTGAGGGATGATCATCCTCCGTATGAACCTCTCTTCAATTGCAATCATCTTCTGAGAACTTGAATTCTACTACAAAGATGGATGCTATGTGAGGACACCTAACAGGGTCTTTCTAGGCTCAGCACCCCAATTTTGTAATTTCTTCCTATGAAGGATTGAGCTTCTTTGATGTTCTTCAATCAGGCAGTATTTTTGTTGCTGTTATTGTTCATCCAGTTTTATGAAGTGTTTCAATTTTATCTAGTTGTGGTTTTGTTTTTAACTTCACTAACATTGTTTTATGCTACAAAACTTTGGGAAGGTTATTTTTAAAAAGCCAATTTTAGAGGCAAAAGTAATATAATTTTTAAATAAATTCAATTCACAAGAACTTGATGTAATCTCTGTATCATTTCTTAAATGCTGTTGAAATTTCTTCTTCCCATTCTAGTTTCAGAGGAAGTGGGAGGGAAGAAAGATTGGTAACTCCTTCCAGAAATGTCATTCTTTTCTTCTCAAAGGAAGCAAAAGGCAATTTTAACAGTTGTCTGACTGCTACCAAAAAGAGGTTTTGAGAACTGCACAGACTTTGAAAATTATACATACCTTGGGACACTTTCTGAACAAAATGGCATGTGATAATTTTGTGAAGAAAACAACACATTCTGTGCACGTAATATTTTCTTTGCAGAAGATAAAATTACTTGCACTAGAATCCTGTTGACATATGCAAGTTGTATAGTTCACCTAAAATCAAAAGCATTCTGAACTCCACCAATGATGGAATTGAACCAAATGTGGCACACAGAATTCCCACGACGAACAGAAAATATATATCAGTGATTGGTTTGGGGGGGGGGGGCAAATACTGTTTGCTTGCCGTTGAAAATTACCTAGGGCCGCCTCTGCCTCTCTGTTACAGGTTGAGAGCAAGGCACCACTAGTACTTGATATAAATGTTTGCAGTGATGACTAGGGTTTCAAAACATGAAGCCAGAAAGAAAAATATTTCCTGACTTTACTAATATATTTTAATGATTAATATTGCTCATTCTGCAAGAAATTAAAAGTGTTATGTTAATCATATTTTTAAATCTACAGTTTTATATGAGGTTTTTAAAATTAAATAATGCATAACTGATTATGGATTCATACATATTCTTAAATTGATGCTCTTATATATTTATTTTAATTGAACCTATTTATATGGAAAAGAATACAGTAGGGTGATGGGGATGGTGGTGAGTCTCATTGAGATCATTGTGGCTGTACTGATATTATTTGCCATTATCTATATCTTTTTTTTATTATCCTTTCCATCTGGCGTTAGACCCAAGCTGTGTGCAACATACCATCAACCCCTTTGAACTACCTTCATGAACTTTCAGTTTATAACTTGCAATTTTCACCTTAGAATTTGCAATGTGATGTCAAAAGCTCTTCCAGTTCCTCCCTTGAAAATTTCCCAAAGCTGCAAGGATTTTGGGACTCTCTTTATCATTTCCTTACCCTCCACAATCATCAACATCTTTCTGAATTCCATGTGATTTATCATTACAGGAACTCTGACTTCAGAAGAGTAAACAGCATCCAGATCCCTTCAACCAAAATGGATCAAAGGGTTTTGCACACTTTCACAAAATCACCTGGACATATGGACAACAGCAGCAACATTAAAAACATGGGAATGAACTGAAGGTAATTTGGTTCTTCTTGCTTCCTTTTTCTTTTTTCTTGCTGCGCAAGATGTTATAGCCAAATTGACTGATCAATATGGGGCATGACCTGTATAAATGTACAACTTTCATGCTCTCTCTTTTTCTTTGTGTCTGCTGAGGTGGGAGAAAACTGAGAAGTATATTGATGAAACCATGTGTTTTTCAGGCTTATGATATATTTGGGAAGACAGTAGTGAAAGGAAAAACAAATGAATAATATGTATTCATTGCCAGAATTTATTCTTGGATCTGAAGTAACTTTGATGTAATAGGCAAATTTCCAACAGAATATTGATTCATTATGACCTAAACTTGCACTGCCTTCCTGATAATTAGGAAATTGTTGATTTGCAGTCTCCAGCCACATCATTTCTGACCTATTTGTTCACATTGAACATTACCAGGTTAAATGTGATTTTATGAAAATATTTTATGTATTTATTTATTTGTCGTGTCAGGGCAACCAGTCAATTATATTACATTTCTAACAGAACAAAGCAAACAAACAGGCAAAATACAAAATTTGTGAGTTTGGTAGTTGATTAAATGTCCTTTGACCAGTATCTGGCCACTTGGAGTGCTCTGGTGTTGCTGCAAGGAGGTCCTCCATGGTGCATGTGGCAGGGCTCAGGTTGCATTGCAGCAGGTGGTCAGTGGTTTGCTCTTCTACACACTCGCATATCGTGGATTCCTCTTTGTAGCCCCATTTCTTAGGATTGGCTCTGCATCTTGTGGTGCCAGAGCGCAGTCTATTCAGCGCCTTCCAAGTCGCCCAGTTTTCTGTGTGCCCAGGGGGGAGTCTCTCATTTGGTATCAGCCATTGATTGAGGTTCTGGGTTTGAGCCTGCCACTTTTGGACTCTTGCTTGCTGAGGTGTTCCAGCAAGTGTCTCTGTAGATCTTAGAAAACTATTTCTAGATTTAAGTCATTGACGTGCTGGCTGATACCCAAACAGGGATGAGCTGGAGATGTCTCTGCCTTGGTCCTTTCACTATTGGCTGCTACTTCCTGGCGGATGTCAGGTGGTGCAATACGGGCTAAGCAGTGTAATTTCTCCAGTGGTGTAGGGCGCAGACACCCCGTGATAATGCGGCATGTCTCATTAAGAGCCACATCCACTGTTTTAGTGTGGTGAGATGTCTTCCACACTGGGCATGCGTACTCAGCAGCAGAGTAGCATAGCGCAAGGGCAGATGTCTTCACTGTGTCTGGTTGTGATCCCCAGGTTGTGCCAGTCAGCTTTCATATGATATTGTTTATAGCACCCACTTTTTGCTTGATGTTCAGGCAGTGCTTCTTGTAGGTAAGAGCACGGTCCAGAGTGACTCCCAGGTATTTGGGTGCGCTGCAATGCTCCAGTGGGATTCCTTCCCAGGTAATCCTCAGAGCTCGGGATGCTTGTCTGTTCTTAAGGTGAAAGGCACATGTCTGTGTTTTAGATGGGTTGGGGATCAGCTGGTTTTTCCTGTAATAGGCAGTAAGAGCACCTAGAGCTTCGGAGAGCTTCTGTTCTACCATTTCAAAGCTCCCTGCTTGAGCGATTTTATGTATGATATTATAGTACGTCATCTTTGTGGTAGCATAGAACTGTAACTTCATAATCTTTGTTGCAAGCTTGTACTCGTAAACACTCAAATGCTATCCTCTGTGCACTGTGTCCCCTGTTCATTTTTTTCTGAGGCTAATTTTTATTTTTTAAAGTTAATTTTAGGTTGTCCTCATATATTATTCCAATTAAATTCCTGTCTTTCTCATAACATTTATCAATGACAAAACATGACTACTACTTGTTTACTGATATATTATTTATTTTATTCAATGCTGATTAACACCAAACTCATAGACACAAAAAGATTGAGCAAAGATTGACTTGGAGATTGCTTGGATGACATTTTGTTTTCTGCAATGGCTATGTTTTATTAGTTAAATGTATCAGTACTTTTCTAATTCTAAAAGATTTGCTTTTTGAAGATAAATTGTTCTTTTAAGCATTGTAAAGCTTTCAGGTGGGTTGTATCCATTACATCAAATTGAACGAATATTTTTTTTTGTTAGTGGCTACAGTCTTAGTGGATGGCAGGTAATTACATATCATCAATGAGGAGGTTGCTCAGGGTTCATCTATCCTATAATTCTTCACTATCTTTCCCATGCAGACATTTGCCCTAGAGGATATCGAAAATTTTATGGTGTTTCTTCTCTAAAGATTCACCCACTGCAAGTGAGTTATGTGCTCATTTCTGCAAAAGAGAATGAACAACACTAATGTGATTTTGGATGGCAGATTCATTTTCAAAATGATGATAATGCATCCTTATCTTTTCAAAGCTCCTTCTGTGCAAATCTGAAACAGTTGAGAAACCATTCAAATTGTGTTTTCAGAATTTAACTTTGAAACAAATGTTGTCTATATCTGTATTCTATGAAAATTCAGAAAGTCATTTCGTAGCATGTCTTTATTGCTCTACAGATCCATGCATGTGTGAAGGACTAGAGAATGAAGTGTGGTATAATGACCTTCCTGTAGTCTGTGTCTTCACTTCTTAATATATGAACTAAAAAAAATTCAATCAAGATTTACTTCATGGTATTCACAATTTTAACATACATTACTATGCTCTTGAATCTTCTTTTCCACAATGTTGTTACCCACAGTTGGAGACCTTATAACTGTGGTTCCAGATCTAAAATAAATCAGATCCTTTCAGCAATCATATCTTGAAAAGATCACGGAAAGTGGGATACACTTACCCATAGTGAAAGTTTGCTTTCCTTTACTGTGTTCTTAAAAAGTGATATTCTTTTTGATACTTATTGAGAGAGGTGTTGTTTCTTCTCTGCTGTTAGATGTGAAATGCACATATTTAACCACTATTTCTCAGTTTCAACATGGATTGCCCATCATGCTTTATTCACTTGGCTATGAAATAAATGTGGCTTTTGGAAGGGGGAGAAAATAAGTCCAACTGAAGCTCACAAACAAAATTACCTTATAAATAATTGATTGATTTGTACACAATGTATTGATTTAAAAGTTTAGTGAATTCAAATAATATTGTATTTTCTTCAGCTGAATATGATTGAGACAATCATGGTCAAATTGTAAGGCTGTAATACAGTATTTGGTAGGGTTGGATAGGTTCGCTCGGATGTAGCATAATTCGGAAAAAAATCGGATTTTTTGCCTTCCGAAGGGACTTCTGCCACATTTCTGCGAGGCTGTAGTCTCCAATAGATTCGATTTGGCTTGCGCAATTGATTTCAGGGACGCAGAAGTGAGTCAGAACTATAATGAAGCATTTTTAATGCAACTAATCCTGCTGGGAGGCGAAGCATAAGAGGCTTGCCTCCCTGCCAATCAGAGGTTATGTTTTGGGAGGGGAGGGGTTTGCAGTGTCTGGCAGCCATTGCTGTATATAAACCGAAGCACATGGCTGGAAGGCTCATTGGCAGCCAGGGAAGGGAGAGGGGAGGTTGGATCGTTGTTCCTGCTGCTGCTTGTTGCTGTTGGGTGTGGGGTTGAAGAAAGGGTTTGGAGCTAGAAGAAAGGAGTTTTTTATAATAGAGGAAGGCCAGGCAGAAGAGAAGATTTTGAGAGAGCCAGAAGGGTTTGGAGCCAGAGAAGAGAGAGAAAGAAGGAAAAGTTTGTTTGGGAGGTGGGGAGGTGGGGAGATGGTGAAATTAATAAAGTTGTTTCTGGAAATATCTTTTTTTTGCTCACCACCAAAGCTTTGCTATTTTTATTGGGATCGCTCCCTTTTTTGGGGTGTGTGTTTTGGTGACTTGACACTGCATTTCCTAACCTTGCTGGGCCTCAGTTGCACAAACAGTGAGTTCCAACAGTATGAAGTTGGGGGAGAGTGATCTCGTATAACCTTTTGTCATTTCCTTAAAGATTCAAGGAAGTAGCTCTTTTATTTTTATTTTAATAAATTATTTCTAAACTTGTTTGAAAAAATTCTTTAAAATCAGTGGATCATCTAACATGTTAAAATTTGGTATGCCAACAGAGGAGGATGTGTTGTAGCAATATATCAAGTTTCATCAAGATATGTGTAAAAATGAGGGAGAAAGAAGCCCCTGGATTTTCCCCAGTTCTAGTGCTGTTTTCCGTGTATTGTGCAATCGCGTCCACCATTAACAAATCGATTCAGAAGTTTCAAATGTTTTGGAATGTTCTGAATTTTTTTCAGAAAAATTCGGAAGTTACTTTAGAATCAAACCATCAACACCCCCTAGATCCGAAACAGGTTTTGAACCATTTTTTCATCAATCAAGCCTAGTATTTGGTAATATAATTGGGCCATCATTTTTTCAGTCATATTTAACCGATGAAGATTCCTAATATATTCCAGAGAATGAGTAAGAAAAAGAAAAAGAAAGAGTGCATTGGGTATATGTGAATAAAGTTTGTTCAGCTTTGGTGATGGTGAATATCCATTAGATTCTCATAGTTAAAATAAGTATATGAACTCCTTTAAAGAATAAAATTAAATCGGAATTTAACAATGGAAATTGAAGAAGAATTACATCAGAACATTTAAAATGTGTGTGTATGTGCAATAGAGATTACAGGTAGACAGATTATAAATATATCGTCATATTACTAAATTATGTATTCTCTTTTCTGCAGTTACATGTGCCAAAACCTAGTTGTCAGTCCCAATTAAAATACACCTATTCAATTGCATGTGGACTTAGAAGTTCCCATTAATACAGTGGGATCTACTTTAGTTGTGATTTGAGATACATTTAAGTCTCTGATGAAATGCCTAAACTCTGCCCTGAATTAGCATGGTAGAGCTCATGGAAATAATGTGAAAATTCATTGCACAACTTTCTATGTTTAAAGCCTTTAAACAAAGATTGAATGAAAAAGAGGAGACATGAATAACAATATCTATAAAAAGAAGAACTATGGTTATATTCATATTGTTTTATTGAAGGAGTTCATTATGACAGAATGGGTAACATGGCTAT